CCCCAAAACCCCAAAACCCCAAAACCCCAAAACCCCAAAACCCCAACATATTAATCTTCAGTTGATAATTAATATTTATAATTGCAGAATAAAATGAACAGGACTGTTTATATGTAAGCCACTATTATTTCTAAATCATAGCAGACTTGTTAAGATTCCTCTGATTTTTCTTATTTGTTATTAATGTTGATCTAGGAGTCAGAATAGAACAGTAAGCCCATTTGTACGAACACAAATGAAGAAAGCTAATGTGGGTCATTATATTTACTCTAAATCCTATTCTTGTTACTAATTCTCTTGTTTAGATTCCAGTGAGTTCATTATACTTAAGGAATGCAAGAACGCAGTTTAAATAGCAGGACCTAAAAACACGATGATGCGGAGACTGATCACTCGGCTTGGTAGGAAGTTTTGCAAATAACCAGGGGATAATCATTGAAGAAGATGGTAAATTCTACAGCAAGAGGCTTGACTTAGTAGAGGAGACTCCTCGGTTTAACAAGTTTGACAGGACACCTGATAAAAGTATTGAAAAAATCATCACTTCTAAATATCAGTAAATCTAGGCTTAAATTATAGAAACACCACTGCAAAAACTAGCGGTCTGAATATTTCTGAAGATGTTGTCAATAAACAGTTTTATGAAAACTTCACCGTTATGGTCAGGAATACTTCCAGTATCAATACAGTTGAGAGGACTAGAGCAAATATATGTTACAAAACTACAGAAACAAAGAAAGAAGAGCCTATTGAGGTTGAAGATATTGAAGAAAGTTCGAACGATTCTTTACTCGAAGAATTTAATTACGAGGCAGAAGAAGAAAAGCCTCCCCCAAAGAAAATGGGGTTCAAGCTCTTCAGATGTGCTAAAATAGCTAATAAGAAGAAGCAGAGTTCGGACTTGGTGATCTCTCCTGCACGTCTTCAATCACCTAATCTTGATAAATACATTCGGAGAAGAATTAGAGGGTAAGTGTTCCCAACCAATATCTGTAGACATGTTAAGTTTAAAGAGCAACTAAAGCGCAAGGATTTCATTGAGCAATCTAATTGAAAGATTCATGACATCAGACTTGAGAGTACCCCTCAATTTCGTAGTGATACTAACTTCCTTGATTTTTCTAAGACATTACCAAGAGATAATTCAGATTTTGGAAGGTAATTTAAACATAATCTTTAGGAAGAAAATTACAAAGGATAGATCAAATGAACTTAGTATTTATGAAGAAGATCGCAGATTTATCTCAAACAAGTGCGGCTATTAATCACCCTATAGGCGAATTCCAGGACCAGACTTTGGAAAAGTAGTTGGAAGGGATAAGCATAATCTGTTTATGCCCTTTTCTAATGTTAAGAAAGATTACCTTGAAGATCTTCTAGCAAAGATTGAGATGAAATAAGAGTCGAGAAGATTCAGGGCCAAAGAAATCTTTGTTCAAGCCAAAGCGAGTGAGACAGTAATATTCTTTGGTTAAAATCTAGAAACTTGATAACTTTGCATAAAGTGAAGGAAGAGGAAAATAGTCAGAACAAGAAGGTTCAAATTGCTAAAAAGCAGGGAAACCCCACTTCAAGTATTGTTGTCTCCAGCTCATGACTGATGTTTATAGATTTTGTGGAACTCTTAGTAGATAAAGGGTACTTAGACATCGGTACAAAGGCAAAATCAAGGTATAAGAACAGCACAATCCTTACCGGATCTTATCGGTATATTCTTTTGCTTAACTTCCAGAACTTTAGTAGATAAAATAGTTGGGTCTAACAATTTGAAATCAGAGATAACTAAATAATTTTATTGGATAATCATATTCAATTTGAGTTTTAGAAGTAGGGGTTTTGGGGTTTTGGGGTTTTGGGGTTTTGGGG